ACCTTGGGAGGCGTCGCGGAAGATGTACACCCATGTCCGACAGAACTTAAAGCTTCCGTTCATAGTCGAGGGCACACTCTGGCGCCCGAGCGACTCGGCCAAGACACCAGACGGTGAAGCGACGCCACCGCCCCTCCCTACGATGGGCGACGTGGTTGGCATCGCGTATGATGCCATTCGTCGCGGGTCTTTGTATACGGTAGCGGTGGAGTGTATCCGGGATGTGGAGCAAGACATGGGGAAGTACCCTCACTGCTTGGTCAATTATCCAACGTGCGCATCGAGAATATGAGGCACTGGCGTTCGCTGATGGATATCTAGACTATACGAGTGTTCCCTACAAGTATCAGCGGTAGTTGCTTTGTTCTGGGTCTGTCTGATTTATCTTGTCATATTATTCTAGACTTTTGAATTAATATTACACTATTATACTCATATCTAGCGTTATCTTCGAAGCATTGAATGGCACCAAATAATGGTAAGTGATGGGTGGCTATTACCTTTCAACTAGCAACAGAAGCCGAGTGCCTGCACCATAGCTCGTTACGAGAAACCAGGACAAAGAACATCAGACATTTGTTATTTTGCCGATCGGATCAGACTAATGCAACCTGACAGATGCCAACCGACAAGGGATAGGTCGAGCTGGCAACACCTGGGCAGATTTAGTGGCTGCACAGGGGCCGGGCCAGATGCTGTCATCGCTGCGGGCAATCGTGCAATCGCTCTCCTCTCTTCTCCCTCCCTCCATCTTCTCCTCCCTCGGTACACTTGACTTCAGCTACTGAACTAGCATATTTCCACATTTCCTGGATGATGTACTCTGCCATTATGCACTTACTCTCCTGCCACTACCAAGGTCAGCCAATTTGCTACCGTGGTTCTTCTTGATCTCAACCAAATTACACTTGCAGATATAGTTTTCACCCACTCAACACAACGACCAGGCACATTCCTTCTGTCCAACGACAACAACCGAAATACATAATACTCCCCTTGCCTTTTCCCCGCAACTCGGAAGCTAATAAAGCACCTCATCCAGCTTATCATGTCATCTTCACCCCAAACATGCAAGATAATCGCCGGCAAGAATCACGCCATTGCATCCCGCAATGAGCATCGTGCAGGTACCACCTCGTCTTTCCAGGTTCCCTACATCGCAAGAGCTATATTAGAGCTGTACGGTATCTCAAAATCATGAATATGAAAGTTTGGGGATTTAACTTTTCGACACGCACCCCTGCACAATGGGCTTCTTACCCTTCACCACGAAAGCAGAGGAAGCTGGCGTGACCTCGGAGCAGTCCAGCGATACCTTCAGCGTTATTGACGATGGCAATCTGCAGTATACTGTCGATGGGGGCGCCAACTCTTCCAAGCGCACGTACCAGGAGGCGAGTGGTGCTCCGATCGAGTCCAAATCACCCCTGGGATACTCGGTAGGTGCGGTGACGGTTATATTCTTGAACCTGAGTAAGATGATTGGTACGGGTGTTTTTTCGACTCGTGAGTACTTCTACCAACATTCTCAAGGCTGATTATGCTTTGGATGAGGACGGCAATGCTAACTGCTTGAATCAAGCATCTACTGTCCTCGAGGGTGCCGGATCTGTCGGTCTGAGTCTCTTTTACTGGGTTATCGGCTTCTTTATGGCGGCGAGCATGCTCTCCGTGTATATGGAATTCGTGTCATACTTTCCCAGTCGGTCTGGCTCAGAAGTTGTATATCTGGAGCAGGCATATCCCAGACCGAGATACTTTTTCCCGACGGTGTTTGCGATGCAGACTGTGCTGTTTTCATTCAGTAGCAGCAATGCTGTTGGTATGATGCTTGTGTCAAGCCAATAGACTACAAAGCTAATGTTGTCTCTACATACAGTACTTGCGGAGTATCTGTTCAAGCTTGCGGATGCGGAGACAACCGCATGGAAAGAGAAAGGTGTTGCTGTGGCGGCATATACCGTGGCTGTGCTGAGTATGTTTCACTTGGATGATACTGTGGACTGGACTGATTCATGCCAGTGCTGGCTTTCAACACTAAATGGTCTCTTTGGGTGGCCAATGCTATCGGTGTCGTCAAGCTAGTCACTTTGATCTTGTACGTGTCCTGCGCATCTCTCTGGTCTATCGATACTGACGAAGCAGTATTGGTATCGCTGGCCTCGTCGTCTTGGGAGGCCATACCCCAGTGAAGGATCCTTTGGTCAACTTCCGCGATGCCTTTTCAGGCACATCGGGCGCATCTGTGTACGGGGCGACCAACGCCTTGGTCAAAGTGATGTTTTCGTATGCCGGGTACGAGAATGCCTGCAACGTTGTCAATGAGGTTAAGGTAGGCTTCCCTCCTTCATTTCTGTTGCTACTGCACTAACACGTAATATCACAGAATCCTGTCAAGACTCTTCGTTGGAGTGCTCCAGTCGCCCTCCTACTTACGGCCGTGCTCTACATCCTGGCCAACATTGCTTACTTTTCTGCTGCGAGCAAAGAGGAAATCCTCAACTCGAATGTCACAGCAGCGAGTCTCTTCTTCGAAAAGGTCTTTGGCACATCCGGGGCTTCTAGGGCATTGAATGTCTTGGTCTGTCTCAGCGCGCTGGGTAACCTTCTTGCCGTGTTGATCGGTCAGTCCCGTATGTTGCGGGAATGCGGACGGTATGTCGTTTCCACCGTCTCTGCCACTGTCATTCTAACATGCGTCTGGTACAGACAAGGTGTTCTTCCCTTCACAAAATTCTGGACCTCGACTCGTCCCTTCGGAACGCCCCTAGGACCCTACTTCATCAAATGGGCACTCACAATCATCATGATTATCGCGCCTCCAGCCGGAGATGCCTTCAACTTCAGTATGTGCCCAATCCCTAACCTTTTGCACATATCTAACCTGTGCGGTAGTCGTCGACTTGAGCATTTATCCTTCCAATGCCTTCAACTTCCTCCTGGCAACAGGTATTCTTATCACTCGACACCGGCGCCAGCGACTCAACTTCCCTCCATCTGGCTACAGAGCCTGGACTGTATCCGTCTACTTTGCCATTCTCTCAAGTCTGTATATGCTGGTTGCGCCATGGTATCCGCCGAGCACCGGAGCAGATGGCGGAGACGTCAGCTTCTGGTATGCGACGTACTGTGTTGTAGGGATTGCAATGTGAGTCAACCCATGTCATCGCTTTCGAACAGCAACGCTGATGATAATGATTTGGATAGTATCGCCGCTTGCGGAGTTTACTATTACCTCTGGATCAAGGTTCTCCCTCGCATAGGCGGGTACGAGCTTCGCCAGACAATCATCAATGTTGGCGGTGATGCAACTGCGCATAAATTGGTCAAGGTGCCGAAGTCGCAGGTGGAGGAATGGGATCAGGAGCATGATGCTTCAGGGAGACTGAGGAGGAGGCATCACACTACTGAGGTTGTAACGAAGACGGAGGAAACAGCTTAAGCTGGAAAGGGTAGTATAGAATTGTGCACAAAAATGAGATATCTGTTCAGGGGCAACCATCAATATGTACTGGTGTATAGCTTAAATACGATCCAAATATCTATGAAGTATCGCAGTAATTAGTATGTATATTGTGAAATATATCCAAGATTACGAAGGCGGGACACCAAACCCAACACTACTACTAAAATAGTACCCCATAAGCCACCCCCTCTCCATCCCCGCCATCCTCGCAACAGGCTGGTCCCCAGCAATAAACCAACTCTCGCGCGAACACCGAACGCCACTGTCCGCAATTCAACGAAGTGCGACGGTTCCTGAACCAGATCAGGAATCATAAGCAGGCGTGGCCGTGTCTGAGTTCGGTGAATAGAGACGAAGTGCCGAGTGATTGAACAGCCGATGGATTTGGGGACCATGGAGGAGAAGTTGGAGGGGGATGAGGATGAGGATCCATCCCGGGCAGTTGAATTGGGGATTTGAAGCTGATGTTGGAGAAGTGTTGTAGGTTTATTGAAGAGGGGGCTGACGGTGTATGTGAAGTGTGCGAATTGGTTGGAGAGGATTATGGGGAGGGTAGTGGGGGATTGAGTGTGGGTTTTTTGGGTTGTTGTACTATTGAGGGTTGGCATGGGTTGGCGTACCTTTGGTCTAGGGGTATATCAGTAAACTACTAGTCAAAAGAGTTGGGAGGTTCGGGTTCAAGTATGTTAGGTTGTCTATACTTACTGTTTCTAGTCCAGTCATTGCTTAACTAATCTTCAGCTATTAGATACAATGTCATCATAATCATTATTTATTACGGAGGATCTATAATATCTACCATCACATCCTCCATATCTAACAAAAAACCAATTCAGCGAACCATACAA